CAACGATTTTGGGAAAATTTCCACGAATAGTCTTATAAAGTACAGTAGAGTATATTTCAACAGTCGGCGGAACTTACTCCCTTGGGACCAGGGGGGTGAAACGGGATATTAATGCATAATCTGGCAACCATGTCGCACCCTCAAAAAATGGCCGCTGACAACCACACAAGTCACCGTGTTGTCATGGAATAGCATGGAATTAAACCTAGTTCAGAGTATAAATGTTTTGTGACTGGGACCAAGGGTTGACAGATTCCACACATGTGTCAGTCAATCGGCTGTATTCAAATAATGTCTAATATAAATATAACCTAGAATGTGTACTCGTGAAAAAAGAAAAATATGGCAAATTATTAGTTTTTTTTGTAGGTTTTAGGTAGCTTTAAGACATATATTTGGGAATTTCTTAATCGCTGTGAATATTGTGTGGATGTCTGTTCAGTTCCTGAACAACGAAAAATATTCAACTTTATGGATGTATGGATATCAAAAGACCTGAATGGTTTTGTGAGAATATCAATCTAAGGTGCCATAATGGTTCTGATGAACGGCAAGTAAATGAATGAATGTTTGGAAACGAGCAATATCTATGAACTTTTTGGTAGAGCCTGTCATCAAGTAGGTGCTTAATGGCTATCTGCAAGAGGTTTATAGGAAAAAAAAACACGAGAGGTGATGTTAAATCAGTAAAATTGCATATCAATTGAAGAACATAATATAAGCATGAATAAAAAATCAACAGTAGTAATTAAAACATGAATTTAATTCAAAAATAAAACATTTCTTTAAATTATGACTGAATTATATGTAATTTCTTAATATTCAATAAGCTGGTGATGTTTCAATGACAAGATGTCATCTCATGCTTTGACAGTATTATGTTTTCAACATTTCATAGGTATTGGTTGCTAAAATTTGTTGATTGAAACTTGAAGCTCATTCGCTGTATTTAACGGTGGAATTGGCCCTTGAGGATGTTGAACATTTTGATATAGAACGAAAAATAACGTACCCTAGAGTGATCCTCAGGGGGAGATTTAATATTTGCATTCTACAGTAAACTATCACAGGTTTTTCAGATATTTCAATTTTAAAATTTAAGAAAGCCCAACTGAGAATTTTAAAAAATTTGAAAATTATGAAAATTCATAAGGAATTTTGAAAATCTAAATATGTTTATATATAGATATTGGAAATAGTTGTATTTGAAAATTTACATATATTCGTAAATTTTGTAAATTTCAAAAATTCGGATAATGTTGAAAATATTTTTATATCAACATTCTGAAAATTCTGAAAATTTTGACATTGAACGAATAAAAACATACCCTTGAGTGATCCTCTAGTGCAGATTTAACATTTGCATTCCACAGGTTCTAAGATTTTTCAATTTGAAAATTATGAAAAATCTGAAAATTATGAATATATCATACCTTGAAAATTTGGAAATCGTAGAAATTTTGTAAATAGCCTAATATGAAAATTTAATTAAATTTGAAAATTGTGTAAATTTTGAAAATTCCGAGAACCTTGATTTTGAAAATGAATTTTAAAGATTTTTAAAATCTAATATGTGTTGTGAAAAATTCGAAAATTTTGAGAACTTAAAAAGGTCTGAAAATTTTGAGAATCCGGTATTTTTCTTAGTATCGGAGATTTTAAAAACTTCGGAAATTTTGAATAAAGCATCAATCACAATTTCACATATAACAATTCTTATCACGGGCTTTTAGATTTTTCAAAAAAAAAATTTTGAAAATCTTGACTGGAGATTTTGGAAACTGTGAAAAATCTTCATATCCTGAAAATTTCAAAAATACTGTTTATTTGGAGAAATCTGGAAATTCATAAAATTTTGAAAACCTTGAATATTTTGGGATTTTTGTTTTGGAAATTTGGAAAATCTAAGGAATGAGCCTCAAGTGGAGGATTCAACATTCGCATTTGGCAGTAGGCTAACAGTTCTCATAAAGGGCTTTCAGATATTTCAGTTTGAAGGTCGTGTAAACTGGAAATTTTGATAATCATGAAAATTCTTCATATCTTGAAAATTTAGGAAATTTTGAAATAACTTAATTTTGAAGAATTTTAAATATTGAGGACTTCAAAAATTTAGAAAATCTGGAATTTTTGAAAATTTTAGTTATTTCGAAAATCTTGAATATTTTGGGTTTTTTGAAAATTAAGAAAATTATAAAAAATTCAAAAATAATGACTTGGCGAGTCTACAAGTATCTGTAAAGTGCAAATGTTAAATCTCCACTTGAGGGTAATTCAAGGGTAAGTTACTATTCATTTGGCACTCAGTCCTCAAGCGTCGACTATAAATGTGAGCCTTAACCGTCATACTATATGTTTTAAGAATCCAATTTATCTTATACCGTGAGGGCAAGTGGGAAATCTAGTTCTCCTGGGAATCACAAGTTGTAGATTTTATAGACACCCGAGAAGTGATATATGCATAGAATGTGCTCATCCCAATCTTATGTATATTCGGAGGTCTCGCCACCAGCTAGCGAAATTTCGATCTAGTAGTCAGAGACAAATCGCCTACAGACTAATAAAGTGGATGAGGAACGGTTTTAATAAAAAGCAAACCGTCGAATACATATGGGGATACTTTCCCACTTTTCATACGGTCGCCGGGGCAAGTTATATGATTGAGAATAATAGAAAACCCTTCAGGGCATCCAAGTAAGTTTCCCAGCTCCAGACGTGTTAGGGTATATGAATCCTATTTCTATATTCGTACGGACAGAATGCTTTGTAATCAGAAATGAAAAACTGCCGCACACGCAGATTGGTTAGAAAGTTCTACAGGCTTCGTTTTGCCCTTGGTTGAAAGAATGCCAATAAAATATTACAGCACAAAGGCTTCGTACGTATAGGAAGAACGACATTCACTTTGAATGTAAATACCTTTGTTTTAGTGCCGAATTAACCGCATAGAGAGAGGCCTTAATACCGGAGCACCGCGGCTGCTATGATGAGCTTGAACTGCTTTATATTAATAGAACTGAAAAACGCCTCCTCAGGCAGATTGTTCCACAAATTTTGTTTCTTGGGCATAAGGAGCTATCGTACCCGCCAGTTTTAGTTGTGGAAGTTCAACACGATATGGAGGGGAAGCCGAAGTCAGGCGAGTGTGTCTGGAAGGCTCATCGCGTAGCGGCATCATGGAGGAGAGCTCTGAGGAGCAAAGCCCGTTGACATAGCGATAGAAGAGAGCCAGACCACCGACGGCTCGTCAGTGCGAAAGGGACCCAAGATTGCTGTTAAGAGAAGAGTCACCAGTCAGACGGAAATCCCTCCCGTCAACAGTATCAAGCATGGAGGATGTAGTCGAGGCGGCAGCACCTCAAAAATGGAGCAGTGCTCGATGCTCTGTCATATCTTGGCCTTGTACAGAGGAGGCGGTTATGTGAAGAACAGTACTTCTTAGTCTTAAAGAAATAGCCTAGCTTTTCCCACGATTGTCGAGATTCCAGATTAAGTGATCTGGTAATATGGATGTGAGGTTAGAATTTTGATGATGTTTTGAAATCTTGGAAATTTTGGAAGTTTTCGACATCTGAGGAAATTTTGGAGATAATATCGTGATTCCATAATCGATATTTACTGTTGGACCAGTATTCAATAATTTACAACCAATCGAACTTTCTAGTGAACCGAGACATTGCTGTTTCGATAGTCGACTTTCCTTCTACAAGAGATACCAGGTTATTCCTTGATTGTCCATGAATCGTTTTATTTTAAATCCGTTTCGTTTCTCTTGAACGTACCGAAATACAAAAAAGTAATATAAGACGTGTATTATCCAAAGCGGTTAGGAGCCTATATACTCCTACTGCTTCATTTGGACTAAGAACATCGGTCATTACGTATAAAGTCTTTGAAGATAACTAACGACTGCTATAAAAGAATAAGAGTAACACGCCTCAAAGAAAAAAGATTGATGTATGTGATTTCTTGTAAGATCAGTTGAAAATGGTCAGAGAGATGCTGCGAGTTTACCGACTATATCGGCCGGTATTCTCGTTTTTCAAATCGCAAAACTTTTCAAGTCACTCAAAGAATATGACCTTATTTGTAATAATTGCTTTCGATGTAAAAATGTAAAAATATGCTATTTTTGTTGGTATCACTGTGACCGCTAGAGGCTGACGACGCTGACGGTATCTGAGCCATCAAACGCGAACTGAGATGTTGACAGTTCCAAACGATAGTGCTATTCACTCTAGCAGTGGTCGATTCTGGTAACAGATGCAGCTAGGCCATGCCAATGAGTTTCCAAAAACCCAAAACAGCTGTTCATGACTTGCTGTCTGTGGTCAAATGGACGAAAGCAGGATGTATGGTTGTTTAGTAGAGAGTAGACCACATCTACGGTACCGCCAGAATCGTTAGCCTGTGGCGGTCACAGTGTTGACTGAACTATCAAACACGAACTGAGATCTTTACAGTTCTAACCGAAATCTGCTATTCACTTTCGCAGTGGTCGAATCTGTTATACCCTGGTACCGAAAAAGAAGAGATCTGATATTATGAATATAAATGTTGGAGTTCCTCAGGGCTCGATATTTGTTCCAGTATTATTCACCTATACGTCAACGAAGTAGAACGTTCCTTTGGACAGGCCAAAGTTAGGCTAAATGCAGGTTGTTCCAGAAGAATAACTATATACTTCATAATGAGTGTGGGCATCTCTTGGACGGCATCCATGAATGAATTCCCAGAAACACTTAACACAATGAAATTAATTTCCAAATGAATACTGAACTGAATATTTCGAAAGAAACTAATTTTTTAGGCATATATTTGGATGAGTGTCTCAGCTTTGAAGCTCATTGTAGTTATTTGGTTCTAATTTGAACTCGCTGTCATACATTTTCGAAAATTTACGAACAACCTTGACAAAAGACCATTTGGTTATACTTAACTACGCACAAGTGGAATCCAGACTGAGATACACATTGTGCGTTTGGGATCTGTCTACTAACCCATGTCAAGTTTTCTAAAGCCAGAAAAAAGTAATAAGGTGTATGACCGGTGCTGGTCCAACACATAGCTGTCAAGAGCTCTTTCAGTACTATAAAACTATGTTCTTTGAACATGTACGACTTGGCGATATACGTGTACAAGGACAAAGATAACGTCTTGCTACAAAAGGATCTGCATAATATTTATACTAGGCAAAGGTATAAACTGTTTTGCCTTTCGCAAAATATCTAAAAGGTGGGAAGGCGCTCAGTGTCTTGGGACCACAAATATAAAACAAGTTATCCAATGAAGTGAAACTATGTACTTTATTGAAACAGTCCAAATATCTTTAAAAGGTTTTTTATTTAATAAGTGTACATAGTTTCATAATTTGTTGATGTTTAACATTTTCTATTTTGTTTATTATTTAGATCTGACTTGACGAATCTAATGCATATTATTGTGCCTCCTGGATAATAAAGAATGATTACTATTAATCTGTTGGTAATATTGGAAACAGCATCGTGAATATTTAAAACTACATAATTCGCTAAGAGTTTTGTAAATATATTGCTTTCAAGCCGAAGAAAAAGACTACCAGCCAATGTTTGTTATATGTAGGTTAGTTATTGCTGTTTTCAATTAACGAATGTTTGGTTTCGATGTTTTATTTGAAATGATAACCCGTGACCATATGATTTATATCCCTAATGGCACACGTGGTTATTGATTTTGTGGTTGTATCTAGTAACGTACGAGCATTCGATATGCGCTTTATTTTCAATATTTTCAAGTATCCTACGAATCCTCGAATGGTAATTTTGCGTATTCATATTGAAAATACCATCTCAACATCTCCATGTCGGTCGCATCTTTTGTGAAATAAGAGATTTTTCATGAAATCCTAGACATTCCGGTTTCATTGTAGATTCGCCGAGTTCGGAAGTCGAAACTTTGCAACTCCTTAAAACTTTTCTCATAAATTTTTATACCGCATTGAGGAAGTCTTGCGCTCTTCCTCCTATATATAAACTTACTTGTTAAGAATCGACAACTGCGATTTTTCTACGGTATAATTAAAACTTTCCCTATGTCTGCCTGGAAGTTTCTATGAACTATTTGTTTGGAATAACTTCATCCAGATTCCAACTGTATTGTTCTCAGAAAATATAGATGACGTTTTCCAAGTACCGATGGTAAATACTCCAAGCAAATTACGTCAAATGACTTTTATAAAAATTTTAGCATTTGCTCACATACATTTGGGCAAGTTAATTTTTGGAGAGCTTTTTATAATGAATGTGACCAGCAACAATAGTAGAAGTAAGTAAATTGAATATCCCTAAATATCACAGCAATGAAAATCCTAAAAATCCCAAATGCATAGGAATCAAGTTGGCGTTGATAGAACCTGATTTTTGACAAGTTGTCGCCTCTGTTAGTACTCTGTGAGAATGACACCAGCCATGGTGAGACTTCTCTCGAGAACACCGAAACTCACTCTATACCTGTCAAAATATTTTGTTAAACCACGTAATATACTATAATATACCGGGTGGTCCATCTATCGTTTTTTTTTGAGTTACTGGTTTTTTGGGATATGTCAAGACTTATTTCGCATCTGATTTGACAGAACATCAGTCATATCATTCCGATTAACGAAAATGGTTGTGTATTCGCTTGAACAACGCTGGGAAATATTAAAACAATATTTCGAAAGTGGTGGTAATGTTGCAGATTGTGTCCGAAAATTACGTGCAAAAATGGGAAGAAATGAAGCACCGTCAGCACCGTATGTGAGGTATTTTGTGCAAAAAGTTCGTGAAACTGGTCTTCTTATTGACAAACCAACACGTGAAAGACCGAAAACGGTGCGTACACCCGAGAATATCGATGCTGTAGCTGAGAGTGTGGCAGAGTCTCCAAGCACATCAACGCGCCAACGTTCTCAACAATTGAACATTTCACGCACATCATTAGGTCGAATTTTGCATAAAGACCTTGGTATGAAGGCGTACAAAGTTCAATTGGTTCAGCAATTGAAGCCAACTGACCATCCAATGCGTTTTCGCTTCGCTTCATGGGCCTGCAATCAACTTGATGAAGATGTTGATTTTGGTCGAAAAATCATCTTTTCAGATGAAGCGCATTTTTATCTTGGCGGCTATGTTAATAAGCAAAACTGCCGCATTTGGGGTTCAGAGAACCCACACGCAATCGAAGAAAAGCCAATGCATCCAGAACGAGTGACTGTTTGGTGCGGATTTTGGGCTGGTGGCATCATTGGCCCATTTTTCTTTGAAAATGAAGCCGGAGCAGCAGTTACTATGAATGGTGAGCGTTACCGTACCATGATAAATGAATTTTTCTTTCCACAAATTCAAGATATTGATGTCGGTAACATCTGGTTTCAACAAGACGGTGCTCCGTGTCACACAGCAAACGCTACGATTGCTCTTCTGCGAAGTGTTTTCGGTGATCGCATTATCAGCCGAAATTCTGATGTTGTTTGGCCGCCTCGGAGCTGTGATTTGACCCCATTAGATTATTATTTATGGGGTGCCATTAAAGACCAATGTTATGCCAACAAACCAGCAACAATTGGCGAAATAAAAGAGAACATACGCGCTGCCATTGCTGAAATACAGCCACATACGATTGAAAATGTGGTCAAAAATTGGACTGACCGTATGGGCTACTGCAAAGCCAGCCGCGGCAGTCATTTACGTATAAATGATGTTGTATTCCATACTTAATCGGAAGGATTGTACTTTCAAATAAAAAAAAAAAAATTTGGAAAAATATTTAGTAGTTTTTTTTTATAGCATTTTAAAAAAAAATTTTAAATGGACCACCCTTTATTCCTCAATAAGCATATTTCAAAACTGGAACGTCATAACTGCAATCGTAAAGGAATAGGTTCCGAGAGCGGAATCAAACCACTAAAAGCACAACTCCACCAAATATATGATGATTCTTATTCTACTGTGTCTAGTTGTGTCGAATACTGACCCTAGACGTGATCTGCTCTCCTCAAGGAACCCAGCAGCATATTCCAGAGCGCGAAACTCACAATGCTAACAAGAAGATTGGCCGCGCATGTTGGGAATATCCAAATATGCACTTCGCTATTTCCGCTCTGCTAGAGGAGAGCTACTTACCGTGATAAAAGAGATAAATTCTGACAAGGTCTCTCCGTTGCCTCTTCACAGCAGACGGATAATGATTTTCTTTGCAGGCATACGTGACTCCTTTTTTTCTGGAGGTGACGTGGCGCTAACGATTGAGATACATTTATATACGCAACATCCTTTATCACCAAAAAGAAGGGTTCTTCTTTGAGAATCCATGACAATTTGGCTTTATGACAATAACAAAAGACTGATAAAAGTACAGGTGCATTCAGTAAATGGTGTCAGTTTTTCTAGAGCAGAAATTAAACAAACGTAAAGCTCATATAAAGGCTAATTCTTGGACCAGAATCGGTTTTAATATGTAAGGTAAAATCCATCTGGAAAAATCTGTTTTACTTTGAAAATTCGTTGGAGTTAGTGAGGTCTGTCACTGAGTATTGGTGAAAAGAGTTAGCGTGTTTGGTTCCGCTACCGTCTCATAGATGACTCTAAGATTTTCAATCCCCCAGATCCCGTTTTGGGTGTTACAAAATATTAAATAGATCTTCAGGAAGAATACGCTAGAAATTGTCTTTATGCCGAAGCATCTGCTATGAGGAGCTGAACGAAACTTTGTTACTCCGTCGGAGCAGCAGCACCCCAAACGTGAGCAGAACTCGAGGCTAGGTCGTATCTGGGCCAGAGACAGACTGAAGGCTATATGTAAAAGAATACCAGCCTAGCTTTGTCTCAACAGCTGCCGTCATTGACAATATGTGTTCGTGCAGGCTTCTTCCGAGATCTGGACTCCGACCAGCAGGTAAAAGAAGGGCTCGTTGGTAGAACTCGGCCATCCTTCGAAACCGAATGAGCGTTAGGGCACTTCTTGTTAATTAAGGCCGTCTCCAAGCAGTGATGTAATTTCTAGTGCTGTCATCAGCAAAGCTGTGGATTGGATTAACCATGCTGGATAGGAGGTCGTTGATATGTAAGTCCTGTTCGTATAGTAGTCGTAAACCTGTCAGTGACCGTGTCCAAGATCCAGCCACGGATGAGCTTACTCTAAAGTTGCGTTGATGTAATTTTTTTCATACTCCAACTACCACGAAGGCCTAAGGCCCCGCCTACACCCATGGGGTACCGTGGGGCTTTAGGGGGATACATCCATAGCCAAGAGAAAAATTTCTCTTGGGACGGAATTCGTACCCGCACAGCGCACAGCGACTGATCAGGAGACCGAAGAGTCTACTACTGCCGCCATCACTGCTGCCTGGTAATGTATGCTCTCGATTTATGCACCTCTCGTTGACCTTACTTATAACAGAAAACAGATCTATAGGTAGATCAGTAGTTGTACAAATCGGCTTTAGATCCTCTTTTAATATTGGCGAGGCATGAGGAGTTTTAAAATTGAATGGAAAAGATATCTGGAAATTTGCACCTTGGCAATGAGAGATTATTGGAACTTTTTAAGTTTTTTCTGTTGTAGTTCCTGATTTAGGAATATTCCTACTATTTTCGAATCATCCTGCATATGAATACACCCACGTCAGTACAAACATATCTCGATTGCAACTAATGCACTTGAAAAACCGGTACGAATCCACATAGGAATCCCTACTATTTTTTTGTTAATTTTATTTTCCTTTTGCGAAGAAAACCGCACACCTACTTTTTGTGCGGGGCATAAGAATCAAGACAAGCCAATTTCTCAAGCCAGTTATCGACCGGCTCGCATTTTATGACACCCGATACACAATTTATTAAACCCGTAATTATCTCAATTATCCAACTTCCAAGTTTGGCAGGATAAGTGGGCACCGCGCACATTCGGGTTAGGAAATTTTGAAACGGGACGTCCTTACCTTAACGAAGATATTTTTCTATTACAACAAATGTGTTCCACAACATACATATGCCACGTCGTGAGCACATGTGTCTGCAACTTTATATATATATATATATAAATATATTGGAATGGAACCTTGTTCTGATTTTTATTTGTTTCTACGAAGACCAGGTCAACCTGCGTAAGACATACACGTATTCATATGAAGCAAATTCTGTCGCCAAGGATGGTGTAGCTATGGGAAATCTAGTGGACGTAGAACATGGCATAGAGCGTCTGCTCATTGAAAAATGTCAAAACATAGGCTGCAGCAATCTTTGTATCGTCATTGTTTTGCCGAAAACTTCTATATGTTTAGAAGCTGTTTTTACAGAATGGCATAAAAACTCTTTAAAATTTAAAAAACTTAGTTTCGCTTCCGTCCACACCGATTCTTAGTAAATCTCTACAGGATTACTTGAGTTTCTTATGATGAAACTCTTGTACATCAGATCACGGAGTTCATATTTAACACAACATAATACACTTATTCAGAAAACTCCGGTGTGGAATAATTAGCAGGTTTTGTCAAAACAACGACAATATGCATTTCACTCACGTTTTGCTATGCCTTGTAGGTGTATTACTTTTTGGTTTATTACTAATATCCAATATTTCTGCTTGCCACTCCTCCGAACTGTCAAAATTGAAGTTCATTTTCTGCGCAGCGTACACTAGAGAGAGATATTCTATGCTCAGCATCTGCAATACATTTGGTACGCAGTGTACCAACTCGTTTCACCGTCGACATTTTTTGTTTCATCTCCACTCCAAGAATTTAATCTCCTATCTCTACTAGTATTCGAAATTACATTGAGTACACTTCGACCAAACATCGTGTACCGTAAATAGTCGACATAGGAAACGCACCAACATTTACTGCTATTGGCTCGACAAGACAACATAAGTATGTTGCTACGAATATCATTACGTTTGTAATTATTCTCAATAAATACATGCAGAAAACTGGAAATTTGCTCATATCCAGCCCGTCCCAAAAAATGATCTAAGATCGACCCTTACAATTACAGACTTAGAGCTCTGCTTTCTGCTATGAGTAACGTGATAGAGAGATGCAATTATGGGGCCTTCTTCTTCTGCCTTCTCATGCAAGCTTCCATTCTATGGCCTCATACAGAAGCTGTGCAGATGGATGGCTGACTTCCTCTCTAGCCGCAAGATTTCCGTCATAATTGACGGGTTCTCCTCTTCTTAATACATTGTCAAGGCGGGTGTTTCCTAGGGTTCTTGGCTTTGACATTTTTTCTATTTCAGATAAACGATCTGCCTTCCTATATTGTCAATCCAATTCTCAGCTTTGCTGATGACAGTGCTCTACATGCTAGAAATCAGCTAAGCTGATCTCTGCCGGTGAGCTGAAGAGAAGAAGATTAGCGCAACTTCCCTCTGACGAGATATTTGGAAGTTGTCACTGCCTGGGGACGCAATAATCTGGTACAATTTATGGTACTTATGAATAACCCAGTTCTATCAAAGAGCCATTTATTTCTGCTGGTCAGAGCTGAGATCACCGAGAAGTTGATCTGGCACGAACACATCTAGTCAATCACGGCAGCTAATGGGAAAAAGCGAGGCTCTGTACAAAATCCAGATAAGACATAGCCTTGAGTACTACTCACATGTTTGAGGTGGTGCCGCCCCTATTACATTATCTATGTTCGACAGACCCATCTCCTGTCCAGAACTGGCCGGTACGACCGCTCCTTTATTCGTAGGGTATCAAGATTTCCTGAGGAGGCTATTTCCAGTTCTACTAACCTTAGACACTTCAAAAATCTAATTAGCAAAGTATCTTTAACCTCTCTATAGCAGCTGTGGTGTCCTTGTATTTAGGCTGCTTCGGTATAAAAAGATTGTGTGAGTGTTAATATGGGGCGGGTAATACAAGAGAGGATGTGACAAGGCACCCACTGCATATCCTGCCACAGTTTCTTTGCTTTCATTTACTGCCCAAAAGAAAGGTTTTTTACATTCCTCATCATCAGCTGTCCAGTTCTGAAATTACCCTACCTGTTTGTCGACAGGCCGATATTGTACCTGCATGCAGGGGAGATAGGAAAAATCGAATCGAACAATAACTCTCGCACCCACCGTATATATTTCAAACTCCTATATATAGAACAACTGCCCGCTGTTTTAATGATAGTGTAGGAAAAACATCCAGTGCCGTAACCTCAGTAATGGCTTTAGCGATTTTGATACTTTTATTTTACACATCCTACGCAACGTCATCACTTCATAAATGATTATGTTCAGCACAACTTAGCCCCTCTGAACTGAACATGTATAGCAAAGAAATTAAACGGGGCAAGTCAGCCAAATATGCCGATACAACTAATCCATAGAAATGTTACCCGCTCTACTGACAGTGCGCCGACTATGTGGCGAGCTGTCTCACCTTGTCGTTCGCCGCAGTCAGCCAGTCGTAGCAGTGGTAGCCCGCCAGTTAGACGACAGCCATCTGAGAGACCGTAACGCAGTGCAGTGTAACCAGAAGCGCGTATTTCTCTTAACATTCTGAGTTTTGAGGCTAATATGGTGTGTGAACCCAGATATAGAGACAGAATAAGATAATAACTTCTCCTTAATTTGGTGCCAGCATAGTGTTTCTGAAAATACATTATAAGCAATCCGGTAGTATAAATACGACTCCCGGCCATTGTAAGCCGTTCAATACCCAGCTAGACTCCGTAACAATCACGTTTGTAAACTTTTGTAATTTTGAAGCGGTCCCGTATAATTTTCTTTAAAAATCTATTTCCAAATCCCATGATTTAAGATATCTAACAGGTCCGTATAATTACAGAGGTTGGAAGCGTACTAACATAAAAAAACTAAGATATACCCACCCTCACTCCCTATCAACTTTTAACCTCGACAAATTGTTTTAGAAAATGATCAGGAGCCTCTCAAACGTTATAGTACGAAGTTCGAGGAATTTCCTTTTTTTTCGTTTTCTACCCCATAGCCTCTGAACCAATTTTCAAAATCCAAAGGTTTTTCGTCCTTGGCATAGTACTAACCTTGTGCGAAAATGTTATCCAAATCCGAGTGGTGCTGTCGATCTCATTTTCGAATTTTTTTATGTTCACAATACTTCATCGCTAGTGGGTAGGAAGTACTAATGGCTCGAATTTGTACTGAAGTATATGTGATTTAAACTATTCCAAGTGGGTTGTACTATAAACGGTTTGTATCAATCTGTAGGCGATGCACCCTAATACAAAAATTTGGAATACAAAGTACAAAACAAGTATTTCTTGTAAGAAAACAACCTTTTTATTAAGTTTATTTTGTTACATAAATCATTGATCACGTAACCGTGAAAAAATATCATAGATCTGAGGTTCTGAGACAGTTCTTCAAATATTTTATCACCCATTTTTTTCAATGAGGTTTTGGTCAAGCTGCTACCTTTATAATTCAGATATTGCAGTTTTTAAGACAGTAGGCACTGTGTTTTCATTGTTTTCCAGATTGCAATGAAGGAATAAATCCTCTAACAACATATAATCAGATTTGACTTTTATTTTTGATAACACCTCCAATTTTCCTTAAAGTTCCTTTACATATTCTTGGCCTTATACCAATGTTTCAAGGGCGCGTGATGTGTAGAAATGCATAGGTGAGAATTATAGCATAATATTTACCAAATATCAAAACAGTTGTATCTAAATAAAATTTTAAAAGAGGTATCTCAGGCCCGACGTTACTATTTACTACAATAAATACATGCAGAAAACTGGAAATTTGCTCATATCCAGCCCGTCCCAAAAAATGATCTAAGATCGACCCTTACAATTACAGACTTAGAGCTCTGCTTTCTGCTATAAGTAACGTGATAGAGAGATGCAATTATGGGGCCTTCTTCTTCTGCCTTCTCATGCAAGCTTCCATTCTATGGCCTCATACAGAAGCTGTGCAGATGGATGGCTGACTTCCTCTCTAGCCGCAAGATTTCCGTCATAATTGACGGGTTCTCCTCTTCTTAATACATTGTCAAGGCGGGTGTTTCCTAGGGTTCTTGGCTTTGACATTTTTTCTATTTCAGATAAACGATCTGCCTTCCTATATTGTCAATCCAATTCTCAGCTTTGCTGATGACAGTGCTCTACATGCTAGAAATCAGCTAAGCTGATCTCTGCCGGTGAGCTGAAGAGAAGAAGATTAGCGCAACTTCTCTCTGACGAGATATTTGGAAGTTGTCACTGCCTGGGGACGCAATAATCTGGTACAATTTATGGTACTTATGAATAACCCAGTTCTATCAAAGAGCCATTTATTTCTGCTGGTCAGAGCTGAGATCACCGAGAAGTTGATCTGGCACGAACACATCTAGTCAATCACGGCAGCTAATGGGAAAAAGCGAGGCTCTGTACAAAATCCAGATAAGACATAGCCTTGAGTACTACTCACATGTTTGAGGTGGTGCCGCCCCTACTACATTATCTATGTTCGACAGACCCATCTCCTGTCCAGAACTGGCCGGTACGACCGCTCCTTTATTCGTAGGGTATCAAGATTTCCTGAGGAGGCTATTTCCAGTTCTACTAACCTTAGACACTTCAAAAATCTAATTAGCAAAGTATCTTTAACCTCTCTATAGCAGCTGTGGTGTCCTTGTATTTAGGCTGCTTCGGTATAAAGATTGTGTGAGTGTTAATATGGGGCGGGTAATACAAGAGAGGATGTGACAAGGCACCCACTGCATATCCTGCCACAGTTTCTTTGCTTTCATTTACTGCCCAAAAGAAAGGTTTTTTACATTCCTCATCATCAGCTGTCCAGTTCTGAAATTACCCTACCTGTTTGTCGACAGGCCGATATTGTACCTGCATGCAGGGGAGATAGGAAAAATCGAATCGAACAATAACTCTCGCACCCACCGTATATATTTCAAACTCCTATATATAGAACAACTGCCCGCTGTTTTAATGATGGTGTAGGAAAGACATCCAGTGCCGTAACCTCAGTAATGGCTTTAGCGATTTTGATACTTTTATTTTACACATCCTACGCAACGTCATCAC